GCTTTTTTGATGCCATAATTTTAAAAATTTATGGGCAGGAATGACAGTAAAAGAGCAGGGCAGAGCACTCTGGAAAGATCTGGGGTCAAATCCAAGGTGATACAATGCAATCAAATCAGATTACATTGTATCACTTTTTATATGTGTGTGTGTCTTTTAGTGTTTATACTTTTGAATTTGCCGCCCAGTTCCGCTCCCATGCGACACTGCTCGCATGAGAACGGAACTCGGAAGCCGGATGCAGACGTGGACACAGGAGGCTCTCGCTGCGATCGCAGCGAGGGGACTTCGCTGGATCGCAGGAGAAGGCAAGGGACGCCGCTGTGCTGCTCTGCAAGAACCTGGAGCATTAACCCCGAGTGTGACTCGGGGATACCGCTCCTGGCAGCGAATTTTTACCCCGAGTCACACTCGGGATTACCGCTTAAAGAAGTTTCGTGAAAAAGGCCCCAGGACTCTCGATGGCTCCACTGGAAGGCAGCCGGCTGTTCCATGAAAAGTGTTTGTGATCTGTTGGATCGCCAAACTTCCATTCCCCTCCTCGAACAAGTCGAGAAATCGCGACAACAGTAGTGTGTAACACTTAGCATTTATTGTGTCCCTTTCTCTCGCTCGCTCTCTTTTCTTCACCCCTAGAGGGAATTCAGCGGTGATACCTCAAAGTCGGCGACTTCTTTTGTTCCCGCTGTGATACCAAATGAAATAAAGAAAACGAACCCAGAAATCATTTGTTCGGTCGCCAGAACAAACGACAAGATGAGAACAATCTCATATTCCTGCTTCTCCTTCATGTACTGGATCGTAATTGAATTCAATCGGTGGCCTATGGGGAAAGGAAGAATCATACCGAATGTAACGCTCTTACGTGAGCTATGGGGGGGGGGGAATTTTACGAGAAGCCCACTTCTGCTCTTCGAATCTTACTAAAAGGTGCTATCCGTGAGGTGTCCCCCCCACCCCCTCCCACAGGCTGTCAGAAGGAATATTGTTGCGACGTATGCGAGACCCTCACGGGCCACACGATACCAAGGGAGTACATAGCACGAATAAGAGAGCGAAAAATTAGGAACAGGTGAGAACATCTTGGAACTTTGAGAGAAATTCAAATGCGTTTTGTCTTGTGGAAACCCAGGCACCAAGTGGTGTGGAGCGGGGTCGATTGCGGACTTCTACGAAGACTTATCCGAAAATCCGGAAGCAGACATGTGTTGCCGGATTCACGACTTCTGCCCCGTGTGGCTCCGAGGATACCAGGAATCCGAAACCTTCGACCTCACCAACGACTACCCCTTCACCAGGTTATAACATCACTTTAGAACAGGGGTCTCAAACTCGTGGTCCATGGGCCGCATGCGGTCCGCAAACGTTCTAAATGCGGTCCGCGACCCAACTGCGTATATCGAGAGAGAAAGCTTTCAGGTCCAATATACACAATCAGGGAAAACCTTGAGACTTTTTTCACTAGAAATAAACACACCGTATTTGACTCGATATTTTGCTCAAACGCATTTCCTCTCTCGGTTGCCTCACGATAACCGATTTAGTCCCTCGGATCGTGTCACGGGCCCGGTGTTCATGCCCTTTCAAGTCTATATCGATTCCTGAACTCTTGTCTCTTACATCAGGGCTTAACTTTGTCCCCTGGTTTTACGATTCAAGTAGGGCTGTCAGCAGGCATCTCTGCCAATTACGTCTGGTAATTCACAAAACACAACAGCGGCTTAAAGATTTCCAGGAATCATGTCGACGTATTGCGAGAGCCCCATTCTCATCGTGGTCGTGCTTCTGCTCGCTCGTTACTCTCTCGATGCTGCGGCATCGTATCAGAACGGTGATATGGTAACCTGTATTACCGTTTACTCAGTTCGGATGAGACGGTTCTCGATGTCGTCGAATCACTGAAGATTCGTCGAAGATGTTGTTTCATCAGAAGCGTCCTTTCTTTGTCCTCAACGCGAGAGAATCATCGAGAGCAGCATTGGGCTGGGTTACTCTTATTTCCTTATGCCGTCTGTGAGGGATGAATAGTACTGGGTACTTATTTCAGTTGCATCAAAGGGTAAGTCACCGTATCGGTGGTTTAGGCTCCATCTCACGTTGGTTGCGGAAATGTATTTTTTTCTTATAGTTACCAGATGGCTCGCCCCGACATCATCTTCATGTAACATTCACAGCTCATTCTGCATTATAACGTTGACTCAATCTTGAAAATTGGTCGAAGACGTTGATGAAGGTTCAATGCTAGGTCGACATTGATTCGGTGTTGAAATTGAGGCATTGAATTCATTCTGTACTGCTCCGACCCCCGGTACCACGCACTTCCAGAAAGCTATGCATAGTACAACCGAATGGAATTAATTTTCCTTATAGGCTTTTTTTGCGGGTGTAGGGGAGCGGCACCAGTTAGCGAACGAGGGTCATGAAATGCGATTTGGCCTTTTGTTTCTCGAGTTACACGCTCCAGCATGTGGTATCTGCAGAAAATGAATTGATTGATTAATTAATGCTAGGGATGGAGTGTAAAACTAGAGTAACAAAAGGCCAAATCGCATTTCATGACCCTCGTTCGCTAACTGGTGCCGCTCCCCTATACTCGGCCTTCTCCAAAAAAAAAAGAGTGGGGGGGGGGAATTCTTGGACCAAAGGAGGACCACGGGGAGGTGAAGGAAAAATAAGTTATCATGCTAGCCGATGGAATCTTGAGATCCTCAGGAAGACGCTTCCTGCCTGAGGGAGACGTCGATGAGGCTTTCGAGTGTAGATTTCTGGATTCTGCATCACACAGTTCTGAGCTGCAGGAAAATGAATGTAACACGTTTCCGAATGACTTCCTTCTCCCCCTGGAAAGATTTTCACCCATCCCATGTTCTGCAAGGGAATGTAAAAGTTCTGCTGCCAGTCTGTAAATCTACGAGACCTTTTTTTTCCTTCGGTCCACTCGTATCCTGTACAGCTGCCCAATTAAACAAATACAGGGTGTCTCAAAAAATGTATACACACTTTAATCAAGAGTATATATTAAACAATTCAGAGAGGGACGATTTTTAATGTGACATGTACAGTACCTAATAGATGACAATGTGTCACGCCAGATGACACAAGCTCACTTGCTTACTTACATTACTCACCTTAGAGCAATGTAAGTTGATTTTGAAGTGATTCTGGAAATCTGAGAACACATGTGAAGTGCAAAGAAAGTGGAGAAATGAACTTGCAACTATGCCTCCATGATGTACCAGAACTTTCGAGGATTCATGATAAGTTTGATGCTGATGGTGCAGTGCATGGTCTCCCAGAACAGTGCTAGTACGGTAATGCACAACAATGTTCTGACAGACCTCACCAACAGTCAACTGTCAACAGTGCCTGGATGCTAACGGTGAACAATTTGAACATCTGTGGTAGTGAACCATGCAATTCAAACCCTTGCTTCTCCACACACTGAACACTGTACCTCTCTGAATTACTTAACATATATTTTATTATTAAAGTGTGTACACATTTTTTAGACACCCTGTATATCCAAACGGGGTTACAGGCAAAACCAATTCAATCGCGAGGGTTTTTGACGAACCCTTTGGGATACATGTAAATCTTCCGAGGAATTTTACAAGGTGAGAGATTTATAACAGGCAAGAATCCTTCACCAGGGGTTTTACGCTGCAGCAATCCTTTTCTCAGGTATAAATCCTTAGGAGGATGAAACACAAACCCTTTCTGCTGAGTTTGTTTTCGTCATTCGGACGCGATAACGAACATAAATACAGTGTTCCATTACTACGGTACAAAAATGAAGTCTTGTCTTTGAGAGGGCGGTGGACATTTTCAGCATCTGCTGTGAAGCTGTTCTGTACGTTCCTGTAATATTCTCCCTAACAAATAAAAACTATCAAACAACTCGTTTGTCTTGTTTTATTGCTGTTGTACTTTGGGTTGAGTTTTAAATGGAACTTGACTTGTTCTTGCAAACATTCCGTTCGAAAAAGTAAATAGGGTATTGGATACGGCTGAGGCGGAGGCATGATAAACCTCTGCGAATAGGAACCTTTTGTACAGGCTCGACTCAATTACTCATTTCTTATCTACGATATCAATTTTCCGCTTAAAATTGATATAGGGTACCTGAATCGCTCGATGAAAGAAACTATTTTGTAAGAGTCGGTACTCAAAACGCGCAATGTCTTCTTCCCACCCAAGAAAAGCACGTGCGCAACTTCAGCGTTGCAATTTCGGAGTTAATCGTGAAAAGTCCTCAGGTTTGTGACCTATTAATCGCCCTGACCCTAAATATTAATACATGAGCCTTGAGAACAGGAGCTCTGACAGAACTATATTCCGGTGGTCCTCTTCTCAGTTCTGCACGATGCTTAATTTTTTATTTTACTCTTGTGCTTGGATATTTTGGAACCCAAAGGAATGCAATGGGTGAAGCTCTATTTCTCATATTACCTCAAGTTGGATTACGTCTCTGAACGATGCATGCATAGCACCACTTTAACCTATTGTCTCCCGATCCCGTACTTTGTACGATACGCAATGAGAGGGAAAGCGCGATCAAACTCATAACATACTACTGGCTTCATAATCACCTCATACACACACTGTCCCAAAAAAGGGAACATCTCATTTCTTTGCCACTCGTAATTGGTTCAGGGTATCGCCATTTCGGTTGATAAATACATCAAAATGAACACATGCATCCTAGGTTGTAACAATATCCATTCACTGGTTCTAGAAATACAGGAGGTAATTCAGAGCGGGACAGCAATAAGGAAGGGTCGGCAGAACCGTATGAGGGCAGGCATCAAAATTCAATCTTGTGTCTAATACAGGATGGCTGACATGACGTGCACGACCAAATTAACTGCATTAATTTAAATGTTTGACACTCAGATGAGGTGCTCGAAGTGCACACAGTCATTCTGACAACAGGCACATGGTATCTGGTCGAAACTCGAATGCAGTACGGTTCGCATTCCCGTGATGGGGAGTGCGAACGAATGGGGTGAGTTGGCTGGCTCTGGCAACGCGAAGCGCGGCCAGCAGCAATGGCCCGCCACGACCTCACTTAGAATAAGCTGCAGCATCTCCGAAATTAAACAATGGCATCAAAAGATTACAACGATAGTCTGAACCCATTACAAAAAGCTAAAAGTTGAAAAATGTTTTAAATTTTTTCTGGGACAGAATGTACATCCCTGACGAAACAAAGCAGAATGGGATTGGCTGGATGTGCATGATTCCATAAACAAAGAGTGAGTGGAGTGAAAGGTCTTGCTTCTCATGAAAGATGAATTTGAAACACCTGTTTTTATTAAGAGTGACCTGCACAGCCTGGGAATTGGGAACACTTCCACCACCCTTTTTTTGACTAGATTTCACTGAAGTGCAGGAAAAGATACAGTATATAAAACACACAAAATAAGAAGCAAGAAACAAAAAAAAAAACAAGAACTTGACCGATGAGATTTCCAGGCAAGGAACCCATTTCACATGAAGGAAATAGATGAACAAATAGCTCTGACTAGCCGTCACAGGCGAGAATGATGAGAGCTGGGAAGAAGAGCTTCATGGACTGGTACTGTAATAAATACTTTTCTTTTTTCCTTTAGATTTAAATATAGGACTCATGGGGAAGCAGTTTTCAACAGAACTTGGGTATGTGACCATTCATGGTCCCATTATTCCTCACTACCCTTGGGGGATTGGGGATCTGAGAAGTCAGGGGAAGGATGTGATCGGAGTTATGTAGATCATTGATGTCTTCATGCAAGTTGTGCCACGATTTGTTGTGAGCAACAGGGGGCCTTTTCACTAATTCTCCTACTCCCACTTTCAGGTCACTCTTCCCATCCTCTCTAATCTCCATTTGAAGACAGAGGGGCCTTTTCTCTTCGGCTCCCAATTCCAGATCACTTTCCTCTCCCATCTCAAAGTGTTGATAGGGGGGAATATTCACTAGTTCTGCTGCTTCTGGTTCCAGATCACTTTCCCCTTCCTCTTCCATCTCCAAGCGACGACAGAGGGGAATGTTCACCGATTCTGCTGCTCCCAGTTCCAGATCACTTTCTCCTTCCTCTCCCAATGGCAATGAATGGTAATAGGACACTTGAGCAAATCGGTCCACAAATGTCCCTTGGGCATGAGGCAATAGGATCCTGACGATGTCAAGGAATGATGGCCGCTCGTCATGATTGTATCTCCAACACCACTTCATGATGTCGTAGAGGAATTCAGGACAACCAAATGGACAATCCATTATTCCACGCTCCTTTAGCACAAAGTCATGCACATCCCGGTTCTGCAAGCCCTGTTTAACAGCAAAGGTAGTGTTGGACTTGAATAAAGAAGCAGTTCTTATATAAATGTGAAAACAGGAATATATCTATTCCTAAAGAAGAAAATCAAACCAATGCAACGCAAGACTTGAATAAAATGTACAAGCAAGCAAACATGACTTTCCTTTTCCTTCATAAAATCTCTTCCATTGTGCCAGGAACAATCCAACATTTCCATATCATGTCTCAAGAGGTGTGCCACTTAAATTTTTAAAGATATCTCCAATATCAGCAGAGCCTCAAAATATTCTACATGTCACACGAATAAGGAAGATTCTAATCAATTTGTAAAAAATTTCAGCAAAGCTTCACATATGATTTCTCAAAGTTGTAGAACCAAAATTGCACCAAAATCTGTGATGTCTGTATGTTCAGCTCATACTTCCAGCAGTGAAACCTTTGAAGCCATTGACATTTTTTTCAACAAACCTCCAGAGTATCATACCATAACTCTAAATTTACCTTGTAGGGACTCTCTGCAAGTGTAGCAATCTCCCATAAAACAACCCCAAAGCTCCAGACATCAGACTCCTTGAAGGAGCGTCCATCCAGTGCCTCTGGTGCCATCCACCGTACTGGCATCAATGCTATCCCATCTGCAAAGAAGTACAACATGACAGAATGAGACATACTGCCTTCTAAAGGGGAGTCTACAAACCAAAAATGATCATTTCTGCAGAGCTTCAACACAAATTCCTTCTTCTGCATGCATAGTCCAATTTAGAAATGTTTAGTCAGAAGCAACAAAACAAAATCCAAGTGACTCATTACATCAGCACTAATGCTGTGTCATTAAGATTTTTTGGTGTCTTCTTTCACATCATCTCAGTTCGCATAGACAAATGTCATGGAGTTAGAGATAAATATATACAACTTTGAGAATCAGCATTGCTTTCAGAAAAAGAATAAAACGCTTAATTCTTTAGTGTGCATGGACAACCATAGCTAAGTTACTGGCAACATCAAAACACCTTTCTGAAAGGACAACATCCAAAACAAACTGCAGGGGTGAAAATTACCTGCCAGATATCAATTGTTCTATATCAGTGACCATATACTAAAATCATCCAACAAAATAAAAGAAAGTTTAATTCTGTAGGCACTAGACCAGTTATACGCAAACTCTGGTCTCCAAAGACAATGAGTACCTTTAGTAAATAAATTTTATCCAAATGTAGCAGAAACCTTTACTTTGATACAACCCAGATTAAGTTGGTCACAGGATGTGGGCCCTGGATCAAAATTTTTGAGTGCCATTGCACTATATTGTCACTTAATGCTGCTGCTTCACCATAGAAGTGCACATAGGATTCTCTTGTGACTAAATATGCTGATAACGCTGAAAGAGATCTGCTGGAAGAGATGACTCAAACATTAGCACTTTTGTAGTAGCTTCTATCTAGGTTGCATTCACAGGGCAATGAATGGCTTCTGAAGCAGCTTATAATGGAGTCTTCAAATGTCCTACCTGTACTGATAACAGCCAAACCAACTAAGCAACGCTTCACTGAGGGTAGTACATTAAGGACAAGTACAATATACTACAACTATTGGTGAATTTTCAATCTAACTCCAATAAAACATTGGCTTTCTGAGTCTGAAAGTTTGTGACAGAAATAGTTTTTATGGTTGTATGCACAAACTCCTCAAGAAAACCTTACAAATCTCAATCATAAAAATGAAGTCTATGGGATTATAAAAAGAAAACAATGCAAACCTTCATTTGCTCTTAGTTAATCTTGATATGCAAAAATGTGAAGTCTGTGTCTTTCTTGTGTTGGGTGGAGGAGATATTATGAGACTTTTTATCACTCAGGCCCGTTCCGGTTTCAGGGGATAGAACTGTAAGTTGACTCGTAGTTCATCCGTTAACGCCCGTCGGTCCAGACGATGTACAACGTTCTTGGACACCATGTATGCCATCCCATCAGCAATCTGCAGGGCCATCTGACAAACTTGCTATAAGTTTGAAGGAGAAAGGAAAAACAATTGAAACCAGTTACTTGATGATGTACAATGGTGCATTTAAGTTCACACCATGTTGTAGGCATAAGTTATCTGAATGAGATCTTTCCTCTCTCACATGGATTGGTAAGTATTGACAAGACTGGTCAGGGTCCTCGCTTCTATGAGATTTTAGCCAAGTCTTCAAATCTCCATTTGCCATCAGTTCCATGATCAGCTTGGGAGGATCAGATTGAAACACAAATCCCAGAATATTCACCACATGAAAGCCATCCTTCAAGTCCCTGCAACAAGCAATCACACAAATTTAATCTCAACGCCAACATCATTACTGAGGGATGAAAAGTCTATCTTTATACAGATACCTTGCAGGCTATTTCCCTTAGGGTGGATAATGTATATTTTTAAGATACAAAAGCCTATGCTTGACTGAAACTAACACATTTGACAGTACATTATACCTACCACAACAGATGATACCTATTCAAGCAAATAGGAAAAATTCAGTCCCATCACAAAACCTGAATATGGAATATGTTGAATGAGGAGAACAGATGGAAAAGAAAGGTAAGAAGAGAAATTTTAGGGTAATGAGCAGCAGAAGGAGCTTTTCTTGAAATTTGGAACTTTAAAACTTGCAGGTACTACATGTTAAAATGCGTTTTTAACACGTTGACAACCAGCCTATTTTTGCTTGTCCACCGCGTGGAACCACACGCATTTTTTTTTGTCAAAAAATGCGTCCTGCCATCAGGAAGCATGGTCCCAGAAAACATTTTTTTTGCAGAGTTTTTTTAAAATGTTGAATTTTTTGGAATTTTTATCAGTAATTACGAAATCATTTTTTTTTGCCGAGTTTTTTTAAAATGTTGAATTTTTGGGAATTTTTATCAGTAATTACGAAATCATCATCTTCTGGAACGTTCTCAACAGTTCCATAGGGTGGGTATTCACTGAAAAAAATCCTGCATCCTGGCATCAGGACGCATTGTCGCCAACGTGTTAACTAGGGGGCTGCTTTAATATATGTTAAGGCTATTGGATTCTGTCTCATACTGATGCTATACACAGGCCCCTGAGCTCCATTTCACACACAGGCTCCATTTCTCTTCTAAAAGAGTAAGGAAAATTGAAAAGAGAAGTATATCATAGTACTCACATCATGAGTTTGGCTTCATCAGCAAATCTCTCACGTTGATCCCTGGTGGCATCAGGATGGAGAATCTTTACAGCAACTCGTGTTTCTACGTTTCCTAAGCCACGGATCCGTGAAGCTACAGCTTCGTGCACTTCCCCAAATGAACCTCTTCCCAGTTGGCGGATCAGCTTAATCTGGTCTTCGCCCATCTCGATATCTTTGAATCGCTCCCTCAATTCCCTCAAGTCAGCTGGACAAGGGGAATGTCCAGGTCAAAACAAAAGTCAGCCACAGTGCCATACCACCCAAGTCACACTGTGACCAGGCTTACCATATTGAGGATTCCAGGTAACCACAAGTTCCCCTTCTCTCTTCATCCAAATGTGCCGATTTCTGAGGATGACAATGGCTAGGATGATGATAATAACAGATACTGCACCAAGGATTCCTCCAAGTACTCGAGCAGAAACCCCATTATCCTCTTCGCTCTGCAACAATTTGCAAAGATAAGGACACATATAAGCAATAAACAAAATACCCCAATGCTCTCTCAACATCCAATAAGAATTCTCCTAGTATGTGGACTGACATGGATGTAGAAGTACTCCTCCACTGTGTAATTCCCCACATCAGCCAGACTGACTGCTTGCAACTGAAGACTGTAATTTCCTGGCTTCAAATGCTTCAGCTCATAATACTCCTTCTCTCCTCCATGGCGGCTTGGAGGAATGCACTCAATGTCTGGTTTTAACTGCGACAATGATATACATACAATCTTAATATCATGTCAAAGGAAACACCACTGCAGGTAATATACATGGGAAAGCTTTTCATGGAGGATAACATGAAAGCAGAAGAAAAAAAAAGGGAAATCACAGCAAACCAATACAAGGACAATTAAATCTAGGATGAGAATGACAGATGAGAGCATTTTTAGAATCCACTTGTCTCTGAACAAATTTGCAATGATAGTTGTGATGTTCAAAAGTTTATCTGCAGAAAACAATAAACTAAAACTGCAGATGTAATGTACACATAACGACCACAACTTGTGCAAGAAAAAGTGGCAAAAACATACACTTAAACTTCTATGAAAATATGAACAATCCAGGAGATAAAGGCTTACTTCATAGTCTTGTATGTCTCTTTAAATGCTGTATGTATATAAGTTGTAATGATTTCAGTTAAATTTGCAATAAATTTGCTGGCAAATTCTTCAAAATAGGTTCCAAACTGCCAGAATCCCAAAATCTCTCCAAGGAACACAAAAAGTGAATTCATGAAAAGAATAAAGACTTCCACAGCCTTCAGTTGCTCAAGGCTACATTTTGACTAGAATCACCATTCCCAAACATGCATTCTTTTAAATGATGGTTCAACAATTGGGACACACTAAAAATGTAATTACTAAAAAAAGGCAGGGATAAGCTAATAATAATAAGCCCACATTTGTGTTGCCAATTCGCTGATACTTGATGTTGTAGGCCAGGATTATTCCATTAGGGTTTGATGGAGCTGTCCATTCCACCCTCACAACTGACCCGTAAGTCTGATTGGTGGTCGGGCGAACCCCAATGGAATTGGAACTCACATCATCTGCTTTCTCTGTTGGTTAAGAGCACAAAAATCATGATCACAGGCACCATGATTATTTATCAAGCAAATATGGAATTTAAGAAGTGACTTGCCCTTTGGCTTTGTCTTGCCAACAGCAAGGACAGAGAGGGAGCATAGCTGCATTTCAGGGTGCTTCTTGTCACGCTCATGACATGCCTTTATGATGACTTTGTATGCAGTGAAATGCTGCAGTTCCCTGAATTCATGCATCAGGTGGGAGCCAGACACATACACAGTTGTCCCTTTAAAAAGAAAATCCAGAAATATCAATCCTCTTACTCCTCTATAATCTTGCTCAAGAACAAGCACATTTCAAGGAGAGTATAAAATCTGGCCACCGCACATGATACAGTGGTAACAGTAATATCCTGTCAACAAACTTACCACATTGAACATAAATAATGCCACCATGGATAATAATGGGAAGACTGACATTGGCATGTCAACCAACATTATCCAACCAACATTGATATCAATGGAACCAATAGTTTTTTTCTTTTGATATTCAACATTTTGTTGCACCCTTGATTATTTACAAAAGGAAGAACAGATTTATACGAGTTACTTTACCAATTGTGATTATTGTCAGATCAACTTCCCCTTTTTTTCTCAACCAAGTCCAAGAACAAACAGTTTTCATTTCTGTCAGACCAATTTACTGCACAACAAACATACTGGTTCATAGTACAGGGTAATCCAAAATTACATTTTCTTCTTTAAATGTAAATGGATAAAAATAAAAAATAAACCTAATAGAAACATAAAAATGCAATTTGCAACATCCTGTAGTTAAACTCAAAAGAGTTTTTATTGACAGTCTTTTCTTCCACATGGTGCCCCAATGGGTAGAATAACAAGGTGACCGTGGTGCAACAAAACTACAGACAGCATAATGGGAAAGAACCACTGTTGAAACCAACTATCCAGGAGTGCTTGAAGAAGTTCTTTGAGACAGGCAGTGTGCTACAGTGATTGGGAGGTGGATGGCTCTCTGTCAGCGACGAGCATGTCAGTGCATGAATAGTTTCAGTGCAGCCCACAAAAATCACTTCGGTGTGCTGCACAAGAACTCAACTTATCAACAACAACCCTGCACTGTATCATTCACAAATGGCTTCATCTGTATGCCTACAAACTACAGTTGGTGCAGGCAATGCAGCCAAATGATGCAATGCAGCCAAATGACAGACTACAATGCATGACATTTGCTGTGAACCTGCTTGACTGGATAGATGAAGACAACGAATTCCTAGCTTGTGTACAGTCTTCCAATGAAGCTACATTTCACACCTCTGGTAAAGTGAATCGCCACAATGTCCACATTTTTGGGTTTGAAAAACCCCCATGCCATCTATGATCATGTCCACAATAGCCAAAAAGAGAATGTCTTGTGCAGTCTCATGCATGACTGGGTAATTGGCCCTTACTTTTTTATTGAGAACACTGTGAACGGGACAGTCTACCTTGACATACTGGAGCAGTTTGTGGTCCCACAACTGGAGGAAATGCAACAACAAATCATCTTTCAAGAGGATGGTGTGCTACCCCACTGGAGTTTGCTGGTCAGGCGCTTCCTGGACCAGACATTTCTGGGACAATGGATTGGTCGGGATGGGCCAATTCAGTGGCCTCCACAATCACCAGACATCACTCCACTAGACTTTTTTTTGTTGGGGGTATGTCAAAGACATCATGTATCACACACCTATAGCAAAAGTTGTGGACTGAAATTGAACTTCGGTTAGATGTGCTATGAGCCACCAATGGTACACATGGAAGTTTACTGACATGTCAATAAAAACTCTTTGAGGTTGTACTACATGATGGTGCAAATTGCATTTTTCTGTCTATTAGATTTTTTTTCATTTATGTTCAAACTAGGAAAGATAATTTAGGCATACCCAGTAGTTTCCATAATGGTATCACTTTCAGGAAGTGAATGAAGACAAATGATAAACACAAATCAGGAGCTGCTCAGCCCAGCACCACTAACTGAACTGTTTGAAGGAGCACCCCATATAAAAGCACACATGCCTCTTTCTCCATATGTATGAGAGCAAGGTGCAAACTTCACTAACTTAATTAAGCATGAAGAGTACTTCACTTATGCCTATATTCCAAATGAAGGACATCAGTTATGGACATCCATTGGGGATGTGATCAGCTGTTCAGGTCCATGACAGATGGCCAGTGTCTACAACAGTCATGGAAAGATTTCAAGGCCCTTGTGCCCATGCATAGTGGTGGTAAAAAAAAGTCTGTAATCCTTGGTCAAAATTAATATTTGAATAATGAAGGAAGAAAACCTTTTGTCATTAAAATTTACAAATGAAAGTCCTTGTCTGGAATCACCTAATTCTTCATGCCTTCCCCTGATCCATCAATAGCTATTATATGGTGCAAAGATCAAAGATTCAAATTTTCTTATATTATAGGTACTAAATGCAAATTTGTGAAAAATTTATCCATGTAATACAACTGTTCTTGTCACTGTGTGACAAGAACAATGGATCAAGTGTACCTATAGAGGATCCTTGCTTATTGCATGTATATTTTTACTCCTGCCATATATACATTTAGAATTTTGTTCATCTACTTCATCTTGCAATTTTTTAAATAGAAAGGATGCCTATGCCTGAGACTCAAAAAGCTGAACTTAATGATTCAAGTATCATTCCTGCATTAGTAAATAAACCAAGATATTCATGAATTAGGGCAGTGTGAATTGGTGAAAGCTGCCAAGCTGATGTCTTGATTCAGGTGAATGGGTAAATGCTACAAGAAGTCAGAGAGACTTTTAGACAGCAATCCCATATGGCTGGAAGTTGTCTTCAAATGGCCACTGATGGGCTTTAATAAGATTTCTTTTCTAATGACCTCTATTGGAAGGCCAGAAAAGTCATTCTGTGATCATGTCAACAGGTCTATACATAACAAAACCACAGCATTGACACAGATGGCATCACATGAAGAGTCAGCAATTGAAACACAAATGAAACTTCACCAAGAGAGACCGTTTGATGCTGCCAACTTATTGAAAGGCATAGTTCAAGCAAAACTGTTCAGGCTCGAAGTTATTAAAACAGCCTGCATACAAAAAAATTGGAAACAGGAAGCCAAACAATTCACACCTGTTGAAGCTTTTACCCAATGTATAGAGGCAGGCCCATCAAGATCCAACCACGAACCAAATCAAAATGAAGCTAAGACCCAAAATGCTGAAAACTCCTCCATAATATATAGTCCTCCTTGAAGCCAAGAGATGCTGCTACCCCGGGAAAACAAGGCGCCTGAAGTAGTACCATAAATTCGATTACAAGAACTGTTGAATTGCACTGCCAATTGATGCAGATGTAGATGCCAGTTTTGGAAGAACTTGCTGACAAAAGCCATTTGAACTACATTCTCAGTAAGTAGGGATTTGATGGAGCAACTGGTCAAGCTGAATATTGAGAAAAGTTTGGCAGTCTCACAAGGAAAGAAGAGATTGCCCTTTTCTGACATCTTTGGCTCCAAATTTTCCTGAATAAATCTGAATGGATGAAAGTTTTGGCAGAATCCAATGCCTTCTGCTGCAACACTTTGCTACCTGATAGCCTTCAAGTTTATGAAGAAACCTAAAAGAAGCAGTTAATAAAAATTAAAAAAAGCATTTGAAAATCGAATCTGACAAACTCATACCCATCCCTGCACAGCTTCTTTCTTTTAATATTATTGTTGATAAGTTGGCAATGATGATTGATAAGAAAAGAGTCAATGTCATCAGACACCAAGAACACTAGACTTTGTTCTATACAAGGGGCAAACATTCAGAAATGAATGACCTAGATCATGTTCAAAAGCACTTGCATCAACCCAGAGACTTGAAAGTTTGGCCATTCTCCATTCTTACCTGGATCTACTTTTTTGGGAATGTGATTCATCTGAGTTATAGATGGATTTGAAAAAAAAAAAATAATGCTCAAGGAGGTACATTGCAAGCTCAATTACAAGAAGCTAAGACACAAACTCAGATACAATTAATTGAGGAAATGTCATTGGTTGCTGACAAGCCCAAGCAAAATAGGATTGGATCCAGCAATCATGGTAACACAACCAGACTACTTATCTCAGGCTTCCTTGATATCCAGGATCACAATTCCTCAAAGAACTCCAGAGAAACAGCAGAACTGCTTGTAGCCCATTATATATGCCTTCAATTGTACATTGAGTTCTTTGCATGGAAGCCAAACCATAAATAAGATTTCTGCTTCTAGTTCACTAAAAGTCAAAAGAAGCAAAAGAGAGTTGCACCAAGGACTACATTGACTATAGAGACCATGCAAGTAAGACTAGCCAATGACATATGGTATTGTGAAACGTTATTGACATACAAGGGCCACTCAATAAGTTATCTACCTGAATATGAAAGAAACATCCGAGGTCGATGGGTCCCAAGAATGCTGACTCCTGCTCAGAAGAACAGATATGACATCTGCAAGGAAAACTTGGAGTTTTCTAAACAAATCGGGGAAACTTTTTTTCCCGGAATAGTAACTGGTGATGAAACTTGGGTTCATCACTGGGACCCCGAAATCAAGCAGGAGTCCATGCAGTGGAAGCACAAGGGATCGCCAACACCTCGCAAATTTCGTGTTCAGAAATCTGCAGGAAAAATTATGGCCACTGTGTTTTGGGACAGTGAGGGACTACTGCTGCTTGAGTTCATGCCAGACAAGTGTACAATCACTGGCGATTCCTATGCTACCACCATGAAAAATTTACACGATGCCATCAAGGAAAAACACAGAGGAAAGTTGTCAAGGGGGATCCTTCTTCTCCATGACAATGCGCCCGTTCACAAATCATGGAAAGTTCAGGCAGCAGTAATAAAGTGTTATTTTTCCCCTCGGATGTTTCTTTCTTATTCAGGTAGATAACTTATTGAGTGACCCTCGTAGATGTATGTCACACCTGGTCAGTAAGTAAATATTCCATACCACTATATGTCAATGACTACTCCTAAGAGTAAAACACTCTGAAGACCTTCCAGTCATAAGAAACCTGCTCCTAATGTGCTTGATGAATAAAACCTTTCCTTTTCAACCCTTAATTTCATATGAAAAAAAGCTCCACAGTGGTGCATTGGCATTACCTTACAGAACTACCATTACCATAAATATATATCTGCCATGGCAAAAGGATTTAACTCCAATGACTCAAAACATTTTTGGAATGGCATACCTAAACAAGAGAAAAACCTTTTCTGCATACTACTTTATATTATATTTACAATATTTCACATTTATATATATAAGAATATTAAATGTCTGCACATGCACTGACAGGGTTGGATAAAAATATGCAAAAAATTGAATTTAGTCCATGATGTATTAATTTATTGTTTTCATAAACTTTTCACTAATGCAAACTCACTATTTTCCATTTTCTCACCATGACGAAATGAAAAAAAAACATGACTCCCTCAAAGGCAATTTTCATCCCAATTTTTCTTGACAAAAAAATTAATACCAGTACATTAAAGTAAGCCAATAAGCCTCATCAGTCATAGACCAACAATTATAATATTCTTACCAGCCTTCTGAGACAGATGATGCCCAACATATAGCTCAGACCATCTTACTAGGAAGGAGCCATCAAATCTCTGGGGACTCTTCTTAAAGCAATAATATATTGGCTAACTTTTATATTGGCTATCTCATTGAAAAGGAGGTAGAACTAACAATTTTCTGGGATGAAATCAACAGGTGTTTCAACGTGCTCCTTGGGGAGTTTTCCTGATTTTGGTGGGAGACGATTTCCATCAGTGAATTCATTAGGGGTTTGCTCCTCCTTTTGTGCAGCATCTTGAAGTTCTTGATCCAAACGCAACTCATCCCGTAACGAGTTGGGGACATGGGTGAAACCTTCCTCAACACTTCGCTTCTTCCGCTGCTTCAGCATTGTTGAATTCCCATTGCTCTCAGAGGTAAATGACATGCTAGGAATCGGAGAAACCAAGAGGCTCCAATCACTGATGAGAAAAAATGAAAAGAGGAGTACATCAAGAATAGGAGGGGGGGAGGAGAAAAGTATAGGCAGATTCAAGAATGCATCCAGGACATACTCGCACTTGATGCTGCACTGATCTGGACCCCTGTTGCAGACAGTGACCTTGTCCTTGTGCTTGCGCACAAAGACATCATTCATGATGTTATCCTGGAACTGGACCTGCCGCTTATAAGTTTCCACGTCTCTGTTCTTTCCTTCACAAGCGCAGCAATCACTTGAATACTTCAGCTTCTCCTCCTTCTCCTTCTTTGCCATGAGTCGCTTCTCATCTTCTGTCTTGATCTCAATGGCACTGAGGAGCTGGTTTTTCTGGATCTGACTCCGGATGAATCCTGTAAGATTAAATAATACTCAAGCATCTTCTTCATTGAAATCCACATACCAAACGTCATCTCCATCACTACAAATCACATCATATCACTAGAAACAGCAAGAGACCATACAGCTATGATTCCAGGATTAGTGTACAGGAATTTAAGAGGAAGTCCAAGTGAATAGGGTAACAACAGGTCCAGAATTTGGCAGAACAGTTGGCAGCTGTGTGTTCTTGTACATAGCAGACTTATCAAGGGTGCCATTTTCCACATGCATAAGTGTGAGAGGTGTACAAAAAGCACCTTAGGATTGGCATGACTGCCCATCATTGAAGAGCTAAGTCTCTGCATTATTTAGTTCAGTCTTCTTCATTGCTTCAACAGACTTCTGCACGTGTTGTTGCTAGGACAATCTCTAAATGAAATCAACACAAATGCTCAAATTTTGATCAAAGTTCTTGAACTTGCAGTTAAAGGGGTCAAAAACCAATTCATATTGAATTATAGCCCCCAAAGTCAAGTAACTTATTTTACTTAGCGATTGTACAAGAAAAATCTAGATGCATCCAATATGTGCAGAAATTTGCAGATAAGCATTTCATTGGTGATAGTCAGAACTGCCAGGAGTATTCTAGAATGTTTAAAAATGTTGAAACATGGTAAAACTTCCTAGAATGCATAATAATCACAGCATCACAAGGGATTTGCATTGTAGTTATTTCCTAATAAAGGATAAGTTTATGCATACGACACAAATAGCCAAAGTCTAGAAAAATACATGACTCATCTTTCAAAATTTCATTCTAAATGTTACCTGGTTCCAACTGAAAGACATGAAAAGTCAAAGGCAGGAAAACCAGAAAAGAAGAGAAAAAAAAAAAAGACTAACCATCCTGACAATATTCCTTCTGGAGCTGCTCTTCCACACTCTGAGGGATCACCTCAATACGAAGCTGATACTCCGTCACAACACCATTCTCTTCAGCAGGGGGAGCCCACTCCACCACCAACTCTGAATCTGATTTGCCCCAAGCAACAACATCTCTTGGGGTCCCTGGTGCTATTACAGATAATTGTATACAATTAAGATAACATGGTCCTGCAATTCTTACAGCAAGCTAAGAATGTTCAGAAGCATACATATAGGCCGTGTGGTGAAATAAAGAATTTCAGACATGGCCCCCTTGCTTTCAACATGAGGGCTACTTCGAATCATGTATGTGTGCACATAAAGGGCATACTGAGTTGCAGGCTTTAGGATTGTAAGAATCTGCCTCACATATTTGTTAGTGCCTTCATACTGATACTTCACATCAATATCTGTCCACCTATGGAAGAGAAAGCAGATAACTGATCCTTGAATTCATGTCTGAAATGCAATTAAAATGAAAGGGTAAGGAGAGCAAAGAGACTAACTTGTCTTTGCTGCATGCATCCCGTCCATCATAGATGGACACATTTTGAGAAGGAGCTTCCCGGTAAGACACTACATAGTTCACCAGATCTCGTGGCTGAACAAGACCCAAGCGATAATTCTCCCAATCCACCTGCCAGTATCCCACAGAACGATTGTCCTGCATCACCTCGCTGACTTGTGCCCAGATTTTCGCCACATTGCCTTTAGAGAACAAATGGAACACATGACACTCAATTACCTGGCATAAAACCTCATTTAATTCCGTGAATCAACACCACAATCATACAGGCAGCTTGGTCTCCATTGGTGGTATTATCTACACCCTCTGGTAGAGGAGGGACAGTATGGGATCCTGACACATTCTGGGAACGATTCCAGAATGCTTCAATGTGGCTGAGACATAGCTTTGGGTTGTGAGTGAATGAGATCTCTCCTCGTTCAATGGTCACATTCATCCCTCTCTTATCCCAATCCCAGAGTTGTTGAAGATTTGGATTATCAAGGACTTTGATGGCATACTTCCCATCTTCTAAGACCTGGCCACCAATCCACCGTAGATGCTTCAGGAAATTCAGAGAAAGCAAACTGCCACTTCTTGCCACCTTCAGGTAATCCCGAATCTCCTCTATAGAGTCAAGATTCTTCTCCAATTCTGAGACTACATCATCTGCAAACATACAAGTACATTCTTCTATTACAGTACAGGAAGACCAAGTGAAATATTTCCCAGCACAATATGATGGTTCCTTCTCAACATGCATCAAGCATTGAGAGGAATCATTAATAACACTGAGACTGCTGAAAGATATTCTAATTTCAGGGAATGTACCAACACAATCAGGGGACTCGAACCATTTTACCTAGAATAGCCATTTCAGATAATTACTACCAAATATGACCAGCCTGCCAGTCAAGCTACTTTGAAAATCTTAGCAAAGTTTTAATAACTTTCTAGTAATGTATAGTTTGATTCTGCATTAGATGCCACATGGTTACTTGGAAACAAAATCCCACAGCTCAGTAGTACCTGAGAGAACCAAGAATTCATCAAGATCCTATGAGAAATTAAGTGATGAGATCCTGAACAGGCCATTCATGTCTCATGAGCAACGTCTCATAACATTGAATCATAAATGCAGTAGAAACATCCTCACCTCCAGCTGTGATCTGAATTTCAAGCTGACCAGCAATATAGGTACAACCATGAAGGGCTTTAGCCTTCTCCACTGAATCCAACATATTTCCTTTGCATATCTTTGGACATCTCTCTGCAAATATGATAGAAGGGTTCATGAGAGGGATATGCACAAAAGATTATGAAACAGAGCAAGGAACCATTTAAGGAACTTACTCTCATGGCAAGGAGAACATTGCCGATTGGGAATCCCATCTTCTGTTGTACAGTGCTCAGTTGTGTTTGCAGGGCAGTCAAGAATGCATGACCCATCCCAGATCTTATAGAGTTTCACTTCTCTCTTGCTTTTTGGCCCCCCATCCAGTGGTGGATTCATGGTCATGCATTCTTCTAAAGTAATGCATCTTTGTTTCCCAAACTATGACAACCAGAGCATGTAATGATAAAACTCACTTCAAGCATGAACTTCTTGCTATATTTCAATTTCAAATCAGCATAATATGCTCAAAGCATGAATCAAATTATTATTTTTTGTAACTATGGATGTATCAAAATTAGCACCAGAGATGATCAGTTTCAACTGATCTACCAATACTTCCAATACTACCAATAATTGACTCAACTAAAAATCACAGGCTATTTTTATTGAGGCCAATCTGTTCTCTCTCCTTTCAGCTATCCAAATGTGGCTGTCATGAAAACCAAAAGTTTAATTACATTTACTCATGAAGACTTCACTGGCCTTTCCAAATTTTGATCCAAAATCACTACCTGACTCAAGACTTAATGGATCTCATGCAACCATGGTACCATAATTTATTCACATTTTTTTCATTTTTTAACAAATATGCATAGATATCAAAATACCCCTAATTATAATGAAAAATACTTCATTCAATACCAGCCTTAAGGAATAGGACATACTATATTCTGAAATGGGTATGAATCACCCAGATACCAACCATGAAAACAGGCCAACAAAATGAAGCCAAGGCATGCTGAAATCATGCATGCCTATGGCAGGCACATTTGAGATGTTGAAAGATATTAAATGGCAAAATTCCAATTTTATTCTTTGTTGAAGTCCTTCCCAAGAATAATAATGTGAAAGCCTACATCAACTGAACTCTCATCTGGAAGAATAAAAAATTCCCTTAAATTAACCAAAAAAAAAGAGAGATTAACCATACCACATAGAAACCAGGAGGGCAGGAAGAAACACATTCTCCTTCATGCCAGTAATTCCTGCAGGCAAAACAGCCTGAAGATGATACTAACACTGTAGGAGGGTGTGTAAGAACTACTGTCGTACGTGGTCTTAGTAGTGTACAGGACGAAGGTGTGAAGAGTCCCGTTTGACATCTCGTCTTTTTTGAGTTGACGAAAAGTGACGAAAAGTCACAGTCATGAAGTGATAATATCATAAACCATTGTGGTCATTCATGAATCTAACATGTTGATTCTCTCTCAGACAATGTGGAATGAAATGGAGCACAATAATAGCTTGCTAAATTTCAAACTTTATAAATAGACTGAAACTGACATTTATCATAAACCATTGTGGTCATTCATGAATCTAGCATGTTGATTCTCTCTCAGACAATGTGGAATGAAATGGAGCACAATAATAGCTTGCTAAATTTCAAACTTTATAAATAGACTGAAACTGACATAGTAGGAGGACCTCCTTTGTCTCCGATAAACACGTTCAAAATACAGGGAAATATTCAAAGGCTCAATTTAGAATAATTGCTTTACACTGAATACCTTAAACTATAGTCCAGTGAATACCAATACAATAGAATTGAGGTGAAAGCCACTGGTAACATATCCAAACTGTTGTCTAATTGAAGATGTAATTGTTCCTACTTTTTTGGCAGTGGTTCAAATCCCAGCAGAGGGGAACTTGTGCCTTGTCCAGGATAGGACAGGAAGTATTCCGACAGACATCTGGACAGGAACTTCGAGGTTTATTATCCTATGGAATGAAAGGAAACCAATCATTCAATCACAGAACATCCACTTCCAATTTTGCTTATCAACTACCCACATTATGTGTCTAACTTCTTTCCGGTATATTGGATTGTCGATAATATTAAGTTTCGTTTCCCGTCTGTGAATCATTAAAAGAAGGAATAACCAGAACCCTTCGTTCATTTTCTATTTGTATGTGTATATAAAGAAAAAAAATTAGCTTGCCCAATCCTTTCAAAAAGAAAAGGTGGTTGAATACGTGTATCCTGGTCATCTTATTCCCACTTTAAAAAATTTCCAGAAGCTACTGGTTTGTATTAGTAATACTACTACCCTTTTACTACTTAAGTTCGTTTAGAACATGAATGACGTTTTTTCACTAAATTTTTGGGTGCAATAACATCCCAGTCGATAGAGTTCAGGTAGCAAAGCATTGGGTTCCTTTCAATTCTCACTGGGCCTTCCATCACCAATGTGAGTCGGTGCAAGCCAATGTTCTGCAGATTCTCATTCTGAGAAGCAAAACTTTGTTAAGGGCTGTGGACATTTTTTGCATCCAAAACTCCACTGTAATTAGGTGGAACTCACCTGATAAATAAGAAGGGCAAAGTCATGAAAGAGCTGCTGCCCTCGAATTACGGTCAACTGAGGAAAGAGGCTTGAGAGTGTCTGCAAGGCTTTGTTTTGGTAAACGAAAAGGTGGTTAGCAATTTCTCTCAGATGCTTGAAAGATATGTTTGCCAGGATGGACACATGAAGAGATGATGACGGCATGGCAAGGGTTTTATGTGTATCTGTCATTACAACCCATACATGACCATCCACAATAGTGCAATTGAGGAATGGATCAAGCTGCTTTGATTCCACAGTAGAATCTGTGATCCTCAAACTGGGACAGACTGCAAAAGTGAAAACCCCATTACAGCAATTGCAATACATTCAAGCATGTGAAGGAATGAGACAAACATAAGGAAGTGCTGTGCATGAAAATCTAGTCATAGCAGTTCCACATTTGCTCACAACACAAGCAGAAAATTACCCAGCAAAGTTATGCACTACCTTGCATGAAAAAAAGGCTTGAGTCAACCTGGCATTACATGCTTGAAGATTTTTCCAGTCAACTGACAATAAATTAAACATGATTGGAAATGCTGATCACTAGGAATGGATGACTACCCAGAGAAATGAATCCATCAAGAGGTATTTCCCTTTACACTCATTGGGTAAAAAATACATATTTTTTCAGCAATGTAAAACTATTGGCTTTTTAGCTCTGGGTACATGCCTTAACCCTTTGCTTACCAAGTTGTAAACATCTCAAAGCCATCTTTGCAAAAGAACACAACAGGAAATACAAGTTTCAGCATAACAAAATTGTCAGATGATCATATGAAGAAACATTTTAGTCATGGAGTTCAATGTTCAACAATTTCATCATGGGAAGAAACAGGGGAAATTTAAAGAATCTCTTAGTTCTGCAATGAAGTAGTTTGAAGGAGCAAATACACCATTCAAAAAAAAAAACTGAGCAGGAGAGAGGTAACAAACATGATTCCCTTCCATTTTCCCTCAATTGCCCTATTGAAACTCTATGAGTCATCATATATTATATCCTGAAATCAAGAGGAACTATGAGACCTTCCAACCATGAGATAATCATGGTGATCAATGCATGGAATTTTGAGCAATTAATGAGGATAAAGAGGGCAATATCCACTCAAGCTTGAGGAGATTGCTTGGTTTTTTCTTGCAATGGAGTTTTGGAAGAAATTACCCAAGGAAAATGAAGACTTACTCATTTCATTTCCAATGTACTTGATGAAAGTCAGATTGTTGATGCTGTCATAGGAGAATGAAGGTCTTGGGCACTTGACCAAGAAGATCACAAGAAGAAGCCAAAGGGCATCACCATTTCTCAGTTTCATGGCAAAGCGGCTAGGGTGCATGAGTTTCAAAATTGACATCCAACCAAGAAATATCAACAGTGTCTGAACACATTCACACCTCCACTGCTTTTAAATTTTCACAGGAGAGGCCATGGTTGCACCAAGCATTAGCTAGGGCCTATGTTGGGTGAGCAGATGTGTTGCAGTCAAGTCCATTCCAGCATTTTCTTTCACATGGATATAAACTGGAGGCCTTATGGCCAAAAAGTAAGGAGGACCACATAGGCTTATGCAGATAATCTTGCCCTCTAGAATATGCTTATTAACTGCAGCAAACCTTGTCACTAACTGCAGAAAAACAGAAAATCTCAACAAACTTACTCTGTATCGGCTATGATAGCCTGCAGGCCTAGACTTGGCTCCACAAAGAGAATAAAGTAAATGCAGTAAGTATATATTTTTTAATTGGGTCACAGATGCATCCACCTAGGATTTGAATTCAATGGTGACCAGGCTAGGAAAACCCCTGCGAACGAGGTTCGCGGGAACGGAGACGCGCGGGCGGGAGGCCCGCTTAGTCCGCTTGCATATCCTTCCCGGGAAATTCCAATTTGTCGCCTCTGGTTCGCGGGAAAATATATATATATTTCCTACACTACTGGTGACCATATTAGATTGCGTATATTGCATTAAATGGAAGCACATGTTATGTGAAGAGGGTCATCTTGAGTTGAAGCAGCATAATAGAATGGAACAGTAAATTTGAGATTATAATGGGTTAATGCAGTCTTTGTCAAACTAGAGATTGAAAAAGGATCACGGGGAGGATACAGGAATTCTATTTTTTTTATGTCACTATAGAAGCCAAAGTATGTCCACCCTATGAAAAAATGTGCAGAATTTTTTTCCACTGTACACTGATCCAGTGGAAGAATATCCCAGCAAAAAGGTCATTAAGGTCTTAGTTGAAACATAAGTTAGATTAAAGCAACAATTTCTATAAATAAACATGATGTGACCTTAGATTTAGATTTTTCAGGTTTAAAAATCAATGGTTAAAGGCTCACAAATTTTTATCATTTTCCCTTAATAAGCATTGATTTCGTACATTTTTATGCATCAACAAAATCACAGGGATAATACAATGGCAGGAAATGACAATCAGTGAATTATCAGTTTTAACATTCACATTCATTTCAGGAATCCCAAAGAAGACTTTCATTGATCACCCATAATATTTCATCAGTTGCACTGCTATGCAACTGTCTCTTCCTTCTTTTTCAGGATAAAAATAAAACTTAAGCAAAAGTTACACAATAAATCCACTTTTCCTTTTGCATATAAAACTTAATTCTTATTTATAAACATGCATAGGCTCCAGTCAACTTTAATACATATAACTTTAATTCATACAACTGTAATACATAAAGCACATAGAGTCTCCATGAGAATCAATTCAATTGTGTACTTACATCCAAAGAAAGTCTGTGTGAAGTGGGAATTCACTTCACACAGGCTTCTTTGGGTGTAAGTAGTAAGTAAACATGGCCATTGTCTGATGGGATGATGCCTGCACTCATAATAGGTTATGGGTGTGTGATGAATATTTTATTCGATACGTAAGGAAATGCGTAAATGACTTGTGGTGGATGGAGAGACTTCCTTGAAACTCCCTATTTTCCCAGTCTGCTTCATCTCAGCCCATTTTCCCCAAATAGTAGGACGTCAATTGCAATCTAATTTATAGCAGAATAGCTCTTGAATTATTTTCGGTTGCACAGTGAAGGAAACATTTGAGAACCACTGTATATCCGTTTTGTTAGTGACATAATTTTACTGTTTCCAAGTGTTACCACTGAGTAACTTTTTTATTGGTAGTTCTAGAATGCATAAATCCCATCTGTTGATAAGTGGATTATTTCATTATTTGCAACTTGAGGTTCACGAATAACCACTTAAAACATTTTCAGTTTCTGACCATTCCAGTCTTTTGCTACAGGAAACAAGATTTTAGGTTGCAACTTAGACTTTTTCCACTTTCCTTTATGAGAGCATTGTTTAGGATGTGACAGTCCAGTCCATTCCCCGCAGGCCACAGTAGCCGAGGAAAACTGAAATTGCTCCTAAATGCCAATCTTCTGAGGAAAATATTGTAACTTAAGTTCTCAGGTTAACTCAGGACAAGTTTTCATCCCGATTTCTTTCAGGTGTAATCGAAAAACGAGAGTTTGAGACAGACTCCGTAAGCACGCACGCAGAAAAATACTGCACCACATGCGGTATGTCCTCTCAAGAAAAGCGGCCAGCTAAAAAAAAAAAAAAAAAAAAAAAAGTAGCAGGTTGTGAACCCTCCCACGGGTGTAGTTTTTCAGTTCATCTTGTGAAGAAGATTCTCGAAGTAGTGCGTTCTCCATTCTCCAATACCGTGGCTCGGAAGGAGAATGAATAGTGGAGTATGAATTCAATCTGAAAACAGCGTAGAAAGCCCTGTTCAGCAGTTCACAATTGATTGCCGAGAAAAAAAAAATCTTAAAAGTCATCCGGCCAGAGACTTCAGGGGAGACAATAGATCTGATTCAAGATCGTTGCCAGCATGAGGAAAGCCGAGTCAATGATTTGGTACTTGGTACATCATGTGCCGTAGGAAAGCTACATATTTTTCAAAGCTTGTAGAGGATATTAACTTCCCAAGTTCAGAGTGACCATTAAGTTCTGCAACACATGTGATTCTCCCTGTCATTTCAATCAAAACACCTGATTTTTTGCGTGAGGATCGCCGCCATTTAGTTGCATTTGCGTGCAAAATTTCAGCCTTCTGCAACTCAACCCCGCGATGAAACCAATGAGAGATGCCATCATTTGGCTGTATCAAGTCGGTACAAGCCAGCGGACATTGCAAAATAGGTCAAATGTTCCCGATCTACCGTCACCAGAGCTATTGCACGGTTCCAGGAGCTTGGCACAAGTGAAGATCGCCCTCGCAGTGGCAGGCCAGCGATCTTCAACACCCCATCAACCTGGAAGCGCCCCAGCACCATCCTCCGTCGAAAGCCGCTATCATCCGCGCGAAATGTGGGCGAGAAACAGTGCGCAAGATCATCAAGCACAACCTCGACTTGAAGCGTCTCAAGCTCCAGAAGGTGCAAGCACTCACGGCCATTCAGAAAGATGCTAAGCTTGAAAAAGCCAAAGCTCCGCTGAAAAGATTTTTATGGGATCGCTGGAGGAACATCCTTTTCACCGATGAGAAACTCTTCACCGTCCAGCAGAAGTTCAATGTCCAAAATTACTGATATTACTCCAAGAATAGCAAGGACCCTGGGCGCCTTGTTACCAGGAAGCAGAAGCCTCTCTCTGTCATGGTCTGGGTCGGTATCTCCGCTGAACACTGCACGCCGTTAATTTTTGTCGACCCGGGCACGATCAACAAGGAGTACTACATTCAGGAGGTTCTGGAGAAGCAAGTCTTGCCCTGGTCCCAAGCTACTTTTGGCAGGACTCCCTGGTGCTTCCAGCAGGATTCTGCCCCCTCACATACTGCGAAGTTCAGTGTCGAATGGATTCGGGCCAACTTCCCGGATTTTATTGCTAAGAACAATGGCCAAGCAACAGCCCGGATCTTAATCCAATGGATTTTTCCATTTGGAGCATTCTAGAGCACAATGCCTGCAACAAAGAGCACAAGAATTTGGCGTAACTGAAGGCATCCTTGTGTGTGAATGGGACAAAATCCCCCAAGATGTGCTCTGTGCCGCGGCGAAGAAATTTAAAGAGCGCCTTAAGGATGTTATCGCAGCCAAGGGGGGTTACATTGAAAACAAAAAATAATTTGCATGTACTGCCAACATGCCACTGCAACCGCCAACTGCATGCCAACACTATGTGCATATAAATTTTCGACTCTCTGTGATTCATTTTTGTGAACTTGTTGTAAAAAAAAATGCGTGTTGCAGAACTTAGCGGTTACCCTGTATATCTACTTTTTTTTTTTCTCCTTTGGGATATACCCCGGTTCACTGAAAGTATGACCCCAACACCATACCTTCTGGTGTGGTCAGTGACTTACTTCTTCACTAAGGTCGCGCTGGCGCGTTTAAGCAAGATTGCTCGATCACTAAGAGATCTCATTCGTGAAACAGCCACGGATGAGGGACCAAACGTTTCCCAACAAATCCACGCGATGATTCATAGTTTGTCTTCTTCAAAAAACGAGAAAGGAAACCTTCCATACCAAAGAGCGCGACAATAAAGCACGAAAGAAGCATGAAGGGGTACGCTAAAGGTTTTGTCATGAGTCCATGCCGCTTCTGTTTATGTGGTAATAGATGTTTCTTCAATTTCCTTGCCAATTTGCAGGAGCAACAACCTGAGTTATTCATTTTCCCCCGTTCGATCAGCTGAGGATCAATCAGTAGTCAGCAGTGCATTGACAGCCTTTCTTAGGCATTCCATTAAGGTTATCAGTTGCAAAAATGGTAATGAAAGTTCAATAGCTAAAATTACTTAATTTGGTCCCGTGGTCCTACTCCCGTTTGCGAACCAAATGTTTAATTACTTTAATTTTTTAATCCTCATGAGATTTTTTTGAGAAAGTGTCAAAATCAAGGCTGCCCTAAATCCATTGAAATCCAGAGGATTGTGGCTGCAACTATCTTCACGTCCCTGCTACTTGCAATGTCCCTCCTTTGAGAGACACCTGGTTGCCAATGGCTTATGACTTGGATATCAAAGTCAAATGTTGCAGGTTCAATTCCCAACTCCATACTTCCTTTCCCCCCCCCCCTTTTATTCACTTCATCTGAGTTCCAAGCATTTACAAAGCTCAACAACTGCTTTATAAGAAGGACCCTGCTGGAGCAAAACCCCAGGATCTGGGGTGGGCTGGATAACTAGACCGAGTCCAGCCAAAATTCCCTGGAGATAAGAAAGGCTATTTGTCTTTAAGGTAAATGGCTTCAAGGTAACCTCAAGTAAAACAGTTGCTTTCAGTAATCCTGTTCCAGTACTAAATGTAATACTCGATCATTTCATAACACCAATATGGAACTCTCAATGTGCCTGAAGCTGCCGTCAATAGTCCATGTGCCTCTATCTATGAAGAGGAGGCTGCAACACTAAGTGTACAGATTCACTCATCTCTAACTTGAAGAAAGGATCATCCCACTTATAGCATACGTTCCCTAAGCTTATCCAACCAGGTCAAGTCAGATTTCAAAATGCTTTCTGCTTCATGAGTAAAACATTCTTTAACTTTAAAAATCAGGCAAAAGGAGTAAGAACTATAAAAGTATCAAAATTACTAGAAACATAACAGATTATGTAATGTAATGACAATTAATGTTGTGACCTTGGGCCAAAGTTAAGCT